GAAAAGAATTCTTGAACAAGGTAGGTTTTGTTGGGATTTGTCTGGGATTTTGTAGTGCCTTTATTAAATATAACGATTTTTTTAAAACCCATTATGGCAGTTTTGAATTAAGGAAGAATCCATGGTTATCAACATTTAATGGGTTAACCGAAGTACACTCTGCTGTTTGGGTTTTTTTACATAAAGAGCAACTAGGGAAAATGCACTGCTATTTTATTGAGTGGGTCAATTCCAAAATCTTATGAAATGAGGATTGTTTTTAATTTTAAAGGACAGAAAATGGTAGAGACATAGAAATGAGAATAGTATGAGTTAGTTAAGTGATTTGTGTTTGCACTTGCTTCAGTAACAGTTATGCACCTTTCGAAATAGGAATAAGAGACCACTTCCAATTACGTCATTAAAATAGTATATCATTGTCAAATACTTAAGAAGTCATAAAAAAGTTAGATGACTCTTTTAGCCCCAGTTGTCGCAGCAGAGACACGTCTATTAGAAGAGGGAGCAGGTGTTACAACGGACGTGGTTTTAGATAGAAAGTGGTCGTAGTAGCTACGCGTTAAATCTGCCATCAGCTCAGGAGTACACTCCGGTAGCTCCGCCACACAACGACCAGGCGACCCACCAAAGACGGAGAATGGTGGGACAATGGTTTCGGGAGCAAGAACCGTGTTGTCCAGTAAAGCACAAGCGTCCTTCAGCACACATCGCCTGCCCACAACGCAGTTTCGTCCGATGTAGACGCAGGAACCAACTTGAGCAGCATTCACTACGGCACCTTCCCCTACAAATACGTGATCACCAATTTGGAGAGGGAAGAAAGCCACCCCTTTGGAGAACTTTTTGAAAGGCGGTCGAATCACTGCGCCTTTGCTGATGACACAACGGCGACCGATCCGGATGTTTGCCAAGTCACCGCGGATTATGCAGTTCGACATAATAATGGTCTTACCGCTAAGAACAATATTCTGGCTGCCACAGATCGATGCGTTGCGGCTAACTTTATTGCCACTCGCCGTCTCTACGTATCGGGAGCCATCATAGAAGATGTCCTGCAACTCCATCTTGTACCAAGAAAAAAGGGAAGAAAAATAAAAATTAGTTAACTACTAGAAAGGAGCTTGTCAAAAAAGCACTAATAACAGCGGAAAAACACAATTAAGGAATATAAAGGACAGCAATGGTCCGATTTCATGTTACAGCGCGAGAAAAATCCCAATGAAAGAAACATGTAAAGAAAAGCAAAGCGACCGTAAGAACGTCATTCTTTAGGAATAAATAAAGCGAAAAAATCGAATCAATGCAATTCAAAAGTTTTCAATTTTGCAAGCATAAGACAAAGTTGTCAAAATCGAGTGACAATAAGGATATATTGCAATAGATTCACACAATGTAAAGCTTCCAAGGGAAAGCGAGAGATACTTGAGATTAAAATGGCGACTTACAAAGGAAAAAATGATTGCGTTCAAGAACAAAAAGGACGTCGAAACACTTTATGAAAGACATAAAATACGAAATGACTACTTGTGGGTCAGCGGTGGGAGAGAATCTACAAAGGCATATGCAGTACCAATTGCGAAGTAGAAGTAATGCTTATTTGCAAGTCAACTCAGATAGCAAAAAGTGACATTTGCGTTGGGCAAAGGGCATTACAACGCTGTGAGAACGGAAGAACACCAAAGGGAAGCAGCGAAACTCTCAAGCATGGCGCTCCCAATCACGGCTAACATAACTATCAACCGTTAAAGAAGACACATAATACAAGGAGAAAAGGACTGCCACGAAAAACGAAAATCTTGAGCAAAGCTGGAAAGATGAAATGTAATGCTATCTTTTTAAATTTTTTTAGCCTAAAAAAATTTTATAATTTTTTTTGTTTAGAACTTCAATCAAAATAGTTGAAGCAAAATAGAATTTACTTAAAGTTGCCGCCGAGTGCAAACGATGGACGAGTTTCGTCACGAACTCAGTAGCGTTCCACCAGTCACGAAAGTTTATACTCTTTTGTGCCTTGCATTGACAGTCAGTGTTGTAAGCTCCTTCCTGCGAATATTCTTTTAGCACCTCCATATACTTTCTCCTCTGCAAATATATTTCAATCCCTACCTAATTTTCCACGACTTTCAGGTATACGTTTCTTTTACTTTTAAACGTTATTGCCTGCGTAGCTATGGCGTCTGGTGTCCTGCTTTTGTTATTTCGGCACGATCGACTTCAACTTCCTCTTCAACATGATATTCGTCTACCGATATTGTCGAATGCTAGAGGAGAATCAGTTCTACGGCAGATCAGCTGACTTCCTCATGATGTTTTTGTTTGGAGGTGTCCTCTCCATAGTAAGCCTTTGAGTAGAAGTAATAAAGTGACTACCTTGCCTCATCGTAGATTGCAGCGATTTTGCTACAGATGATTTTCCTTAGTCATGTGTTGACAACAATGCTGGTGTACGTTTGGAGTCGTAATAATCCCTCAGTGATGTTAAATATCCTTGGCCTGATTACGGTGCATGCACCCTACTTGCCGTGGGTTTTTTTTGCCATCTCATACATCCTGGGTAACAACGCCACAATGGACTTTGTTGGTGAGTGTCCCTTTTGAACTCATCTTCTTTTCACCTTGCGCAGGTATCGTGATCGGGCATCTGTACTACGTGTTGGAGGACGTCTTTCCTAACCAGCCCAATGGATTTCGAATTCTCCGCACGCCTGAGTTTCTGTGGGTATCACTTTACTTCTACTTGCCCCCAGCGTCTGCCTTCTAATGTTATTGTTTTACTTAGGCGAAACTTACTTGATCGACGCAATGCTGATCCCGCTTACCAGCCGCTACCCGAGGAGCGACCTGGTGGGTTCGAGTGGGATGCGCACTAGGGTTGGATACTCCACCTCGGGATATTTTGTTTAAGTATTTTGTGATGAATTTGAACTCTACTCTTGTTCTCACGCATGTGGCCTTGTGTGTCGATCCTTCGTCATTGTCTCCAAATCAGTCTATCGCGACGGGAGGGTACGAGTACGTAA